TGACTACACTGGGGAAACTGAGGCCAGAAACAATCACTGAGGGGTTTCCAAAGCATGTGGGGATTCTGGCCTCTCAGTCACCATTGGCTGATTCTGCTGAAACCAAGCGGGAAACCCCTTCCTCACTCAAGAAGCTGGACAGACTCTCAGCCAGGGGCCTGGTCCTGACCCCCTGCCTCCACAGAGAACGCCCACGGGCTGGGGCCAGCACCTCGAATCCCTGCTGGCCACCCAGTTAGTCTTGCTGAGTTGATGTGGGTAAAGAGGGGATGCCCTTTACTGTGGAGCACTAGGGAGGGAATACATGTGTCCTCAGCTCACTGATCACTGGGAAAATTGGCCAGGGGAAGACATGCCCTAAAACTCCAGCCTGGGTATCTGGAGATGCCAAGGTCATGGCAAGCTGGGATGAAAGCAGTTTTGCTTTTTGCTGGGTAGCAGTATCCTTCCAGATGAAGTATTCCATCCTGCAGGAAGCTCCTTAAGCAGGAAGGTAAACAAAATAGCTTCAGGAAGTCCCTGAAACCAACCAGTTTAACTAGGTCCTGCCAGAATGAGCAATTACAGCTGCGCTCAGGAAGCTGATCTGCCTGGAAGAGCTCAGACCAACCGAGGCACCTGGAAAGGGCGCTCTGCAGCCGGTAGCCCTGCCTGCAGGCTGTGCGCTGAGCTCCAGGCTCCCAGCTTTCCGAGCTGTCACTCATGCCTTGGTGTCCCAGCTGTCTCGGGGCCATTTCTGCTCCTGTAAGTGACCCCACACCCATATGCCTGTCAGTAATCCAGGAGAACTCATGGAACCATTCTGGACTTTGCTGATGTCTGTAGTTGGATCTGCCCTAGGGTCCCTGCCTGAGGAGAGTAGACATACCTGTACTGCAGGAAAAGTCTTGTCACATAACATAAGTGCTACCAGAGGAGGACCAAAGCAGAACCAGAGATGAGCTGGGGAGGAATGCATGGTCCTGGCTGTGGGTGGCAAGGCATGTGACTGAGGCCCATCAGCCTGTGAGGGGGGCATGGTGCAGGAGCCTCCTAGAGTCACCCTTCCCTGTGTGCTGCTGTGCTGTGGCAGCCGCTGCGTGGTTCTTGCTATGGGCAGTGACACGTGTGACAGGCTGAGCCACCAGGGCCTGGCATGTCCGTGGGAGAAACCCCAGCATGTTAGCCTTCCTCCGTGTGGTACGGAATGGCACCTCTGCTCGATGAGTGGGGTCCATACTGAAATAATGAAATGCCCCGAAGACACTCAGGGGTTAAAAGCACATTTTGCAGATTAGCGACAAGGGCTGATCTTGTGGGCAGCAGCTGCAGAGGTTGCTGGACACTGTTGTGTGTGATTAGAAATGCAGCTGAGGCTGAGGTGGCGCCAGGCAGGAACTTGTTTATGTAAAGGAGCACTTGCAGCAGGAAGCGGAGACAGCATCCTCTGCCTCTCATCTGGCAAGGGAACTGGATAAACAAGAGGATGAGACAGAGGCACTGGCTTGCTGGATGCTTAAGGCTTGGGCTAGAAGGAGAAGAGAGCGCAAGTTACAATGGTGCTGAAGGCCCTTCCTGGGACCCAAGAACTCGGAAGCACGGGATGACACAGACTGAAGAGGTGGGGAACACGGCAAAGCAACAGAAGATACCCCCACAGGTCTGCCCTTTAACAGGAAAAGCGGGAAATCTGTGATCCGACATGCAGGTGGGGCATTAGCCACGCCCAACGCAAGAAACAACTATGGCAACGAGAGACCGCTCAGCATGGGCACTGCTGGAACTAGGGGAGGCTTTTACACCAGCAACAGCTTGGCCTGTGAGGCCACAGACACGGAGCGGATGGCACCAGTCTGGCTGTGGTGGAGACAGGGAAACTGAGTCATGTGACCTCCTATCCCACCTGTAGGCCAAGGCTGTGTAACCTGAGACTGGCTTATCAGTGCCGTTAGGAACACTTGATTATCTCCACCTGAGGTCCCCACTGCCGAGGGGCAGGTGCTGCTGAGGGCACCAGCGGTATGAGGAGCTGTGTGTGCACCCCAGTTCACTGGGCCAGGTAAACTGCGTCACAGTGGATCGGAGAAGATGGTCCTGCCCCTTCGGGACCTCTGCAATTGCAGTGGCTGCGCCCAGCCCGTTGGGGGGACAGATCTTTACGAAGCAGAAAAGGCTTTGGCAGATATCAGTGTCTTAGACACTGTAAACAGCATCCGTACATTGAGAGCAGCCTGGAGGAGATGAGAAAATGGCAGAGCTGAGGAAGAGCCTGTGGGGGTTCCTTGAAACGTGGCAGGATGGGTGCCCTCTGGGGTTCCTAAGGAAGAACCCATAGAAAGCCACACTGTGCGGAGGAGCCTTGACGTCGAGAGAGAACAGTATGGGTGAAGACGATCAAGCTACGTCCTCGGTGCCAACCTGGGGCCAGTGTGACCTGGGAGCCAGAGGGCGCCTCTGGTACGCAGGGTCTCGTGACCTCTAAGCCCTGGTAGGTCTGAATGGGCTCTGTCAGGCCCCTGAGTTCATCAGACCTGGAGTGATGGCGGGAGGCTGGGGAAGAGCTCCAGGGAATGCGGGTGGCTCCGAGGGCGGGGGTGCTGAGGGAGCGCCTCCTGCTCACGCTTTGCACCTAACTGTGACCCGCGCACAAATGAGGGACCCTTTCCATGCTTCTCTTCCATTTTTGTATCTCCTCAGTTGTGAACTTCTGGGGTCAGTCCCATTGCTGAAAACAACAGACCATGGACTTTGGTGGCGTCTCACGGTGGGTGTCTTTGTGACCCCACCATTTGTTACAGGATGTTGCCTGTCCCATCCCCTAATCACGGTTGTTACATAGATGAATAACGCCAAACCAAGTGTCTCCTGCACGAGACACCCAGCTGCAATGGTGTTTCCACCCTTGTCGCAACCCTGCTGGGGCTGGGCCACCTGCAAGGAAAAACGGCTCTTTCAGAGAATAGCTAAAGCCAGGTGTGGTGCTTCACAGAAATCCCAGCACTCTGGGACACAGAGGCAGGCGGAGCTCTGTGTGCTCGAGGCCAGCCTGGTCTCCAGAGTGAGTTCATATCTGGTACTGTACTCCAGGACAAAACATGTGGCTGGGAGGTCGTTGGCCCTGATGGGGAAGCAACTTCTGTGGTTTTATTAAATGGATCTGGTGTGCCTGTCAAACTGCCACTGTTACCAGTTTCCTCTCATACTGAAATAGTCCATCCTGCAGGAAGCTCATTAAGCAGGGAGATAAAGAAAACAGCTTCAGGAAGTCCCTGAAACCAACTAGTTTCACTAGGCCCCTCCCTGCCAGAGTGAGCAATTGAAGCTGAGCTCAGGAAGCAGATCTGCCTGGAAGAGGCTCCGATCAACTGAGGTACTCGGAAAGGAGGTTCTCTGGCCTGTCCCGCTTCCTGCAGGCTGTGCGCTGAGCTCCAGGTTCCCAGCTGTCACTCATGCCCTGGCGATCCGGCTGTCTCTGAGCCATTTCTGCTCCTGTGACACCCCCCCCACACACACACACCTGTATACCTGTCAGTAACCCTTGTATTCTCGTGGTGTCCATATTAGGATCTGTTGTGGGATCCCTACCTGGGGAGAATAGATGTGTTTTTTCTCCCCAAGAAGTCTTTTCACATAGCACCCTTCCCCCCATCCACTCTCCATCCTGGGACCCATAGACCTCCCACCGAAGCTTTGGGAATCCAACACTGCCTGGCACCCTCCCAGCCTACTAGGCATCAAGGTGACACCAAGGCCAAGACAGCCAGCTAAGGTTTTAAAGATGAAGGACCCGAGCCCTTGGGACCCAGGCGTTGCTGGCAGATGCCAGCTTGGGGCTGGATGGGGCTGGCACTCTCCCCAGACCTGTTCTGGTAGGGAGGTGGGCAGCGAGAAAGGAGTATTTTTAGCCGGTGGAAGGAGATACGGCTTTGGTTCTCTAGAGACGACAGACCAGCCCCCAAGGAAGCCGGTCACTTGTGGCCCAGGCTGGCCTCAAAAGTCCTGATCCTCTCCAGAGCTTGGCCAACCACACAACATCGCCTGTTTTCTCCTCTTGCCACCCTTTCTCTCTCTTAAAAAAGGCTGGTTTATTCTAACTACGTGTGTGGTGTTTTGTCTGCGAGGTCTACGCACGCACAACGGGCATGTGGTGCCCAAGGACAGAAGGGGCCGTTGCTCGAGAACTGAGTGACCGGCTGTGAGTTCCCACGTGGGTGCTGGGAAGCAAGCCCCGGTCCTTTGCAAGAGCAGCCTGTGGTCTAAGAGCTGAGCGGCCCCTCCAGCCCCCACAGTCTTTCTGAGTGTAGCCTAACATCGTGAAGATGGACGGAGGATGTTCTGGCTGGTTTTGTGTGTCAACTTGACACAAGGTAAAGTCGACAGGGAGGAAGGAGCCTCAGTTGAGGAAATGCCTCCAAGGGCTCTAGCTGTGAGGCAGTTTCTTAACTGGTGATTGATGTGGGAATGCCCAGTCCGGGTGGGCGGTGCCACCCCTGGGCTCTGGAAGAGAGCGGACTGAGAAAGCCACGGAGAGCCAGCCAGTGAGCAGGCCTCTCCACGGCCTCGGCATCAGCTCCCGCCGGATTCGTGCCCTGTTGGAGCTCCTGTCCTGACTTCCTTTAGGACGAACCGTAAGGGGGATGTGCGAGGCGATGGACCTCTTTCCCCACCAAGTTGGCTTTTGGTCATGGGAGGCGACAGGAATCCTAAGGAGGGGGTGAGCCCTGACCTGTCCTGGGCCTCGCCTGTCTAGTCCCATGGCTACAGGCCACAGGGCCACGCCCGTCGCTTTCCGGTGGGCCACTACCCTCGCAGCCATTCCCCACGGCTGCCGCTGCTTTGTTCACATCTGTTTTTCCCTCTTCCCGGGGCCACCCGGCACCTCGGCCTCCCTTCGGGGAAGCCCCATGCGCGGGCGCGTACACACACACACACACAGCCCCAGGCGGGGCGTGAATGAACAGCGGCCACGCGACTTCCCACACTTTATGTGAACTCAGTTCTGGCGAGGGCCGGCGGGGCCCCGTCGCAGGGGCACGGGGCAGGGCGTGAGGTAGCGGTCACACGCACCGGCACTCCCGCGCCGACAGCTGTTGCAGCGTGTGGTAGCGGCTCTGCACGTCCAGGAAGGAGACCTCGTCCTCGTAGGCCGTCGGGCGGCAGCACGGGTGCGCGCGCACCCGCTCCCGGCGCACGCGCTTCCGCTGGCGCAGGCGCCGGAGGCCCAGGTCGTAGATGCGCGCGGCCGCCTCGCACGCGCCTGCGCAGTAGCGGAACAGCACCGTCTCGTCCGACGTGTAGCCCAGGCCCAGCTCGCTCACGCGCACCTCGAGCTCGCGCAGCCCGCACGGCCGCGCGCCCGAGCGCGCGCGCGCGCGCCGACGCCGCGAGCCCGCCCGACGGCGAGGCCCCGGGGCTCGCGCGGCCCAGGGAGAGAGTTCTCGAAGCTCCACCGCGTCCGGGGCGCCCTGCAGCAGAGCTCGGTCTGTGGCGGGAAGAGGGAGGCAGAGGATTGGGTCGTGCCGCGCGCATGCGCAGCCCCGGCGGCCTGGACCCGCACCCTCGTGCATTCCCCCGAAGGGTGTGCAGAAATGACGGGGTTCAGGAGTAGGAGGCGGAGGCGGGAGGATCACTTTAGGGGCATCCTGAGCTACACGAAACCCTGTCTCAAAAAAGAAAAAGTCAGCGGGGCGCGGTGCTGCACGCCTGTAATCCCAGCCCTCAGGGAGGCAGAGGCAGGCGGATCTCTGTGAGTTCGAGGCCAGCCTAGTCCACGAAGCGAGTCCGGGACAGCCAAAGGCTACACAGAGAAACCTTATCTCGAAAAGCCTAAATAAAATAAATAAATACAAGTAGAAGACTGCATCGCCAAAGCGGTCCGCGTCCAGCCCACAGCACTCTTTCTGGTCTGTGTTGGTTCTCTGCCTGCCTGAGCCTCAGTTTCCCTCCTAGGAAGCCCCCCCCCACCCCCTCCAGGTGCGGGGCTTACACTGGGCCAGGCGGGCGATGCGCGCGTCCAGGGTGCGCGGCGGCCGTCGGAGCGGGGCGAGCGCGGTTCCCAGGCGGTGGCCGAGCAGCAGGCCCTCCTGGCACATCCACACAGACAGCAGGGAGCTGCAGACGAGCGACACAAGGGCCGCCGCCTTCCAGCGCCTCATCCTGGGCCTCGGCCTGCGGGGACATGGGAGTGGGAGGTGGGTGGGCGCGCGCGGGGTGCAGAGGTGGAGGGGGAAGGGGTGTGAGCTTCTTATTTAGCTGGTGCTAAAGCCCTGAGGGCCCTGTGTGTCCTAGCAGTGGCCAGGCAGGCCAGGCGTGGAGAGGGTGACAGCACGTGACCCCAGCATGTGGGCTTGTATACTCCAGGAAGGTAATCTGGTGTCTTTTCTGCCCTTGGTAACTGTGTGCCTCAGTTTCCCCTACCAGGCAGCCTTGAGGAAGGCTCCCAACCCCTCAGTGATGTCCCGCCCACTCCTGCAGCCCTCACTGGCCCCCTATTGCCTGAGGCTGTACCACCCCACAGTTTACACAGCTTGCTGTATCCCTGGAAGCAATTTGCATTCGATTTGCATGGGCCCACCCCAGCGAGGCCACACCCACCAAACAGAAACAGATCCTTTATTAAGCTCCGACTGTGTACCAGGCCCGAGGAGCACACAGGAGACATCTTTGTGTTAAGTTGGGGAAAGTGAGGCACGGAATAGTCAGGCTCGCCACGGTCAGCAGCATGCCGTTTGGCTTTTGTTTTGTCTTGTTTTTCCTTTGAGATTTAGCTCCGGCTGGCATGGAACTCTGTGTAGCAGAGGCTGAGTCTGAGCTCTGATCCTCTTGCCCTGCTCGGACCCAGGGTTCCCTCTGCAGCCCAGCCCCGCCTGGTTCCTGAGTATCAGCTGTATACTGAGGCTTCAAGAGTCTCTCTCTGTCAGTAAACCACAGTGCATCTGTCCTCGTCTGGCAGCCGACATTCACTGGGCACCGAGGAGTGTGCGCGTGCAGGGACATGGGGGTCCTCGGCATGCCGAGTGCAGCTTGCGCATGTGCACACCCCCGCAGGGCCGTGCAAAGGCCTGCACCCTCAGCGGTCTCTGTACCCCATCCGCCTTAAGCTCTGCTCTGTGAATTAAACACAGCTTAAGGACAGGTGACACGGCTGCTAGGACCTGGCTGCGGTCCAGAAGCCGAGGCCAGCGGCAGACTCCGGGGTCTCCAGGGCTGAGCGCCAGGGGCCTGAGCGCCTCTCCCGGGTGCTGGGAACCGAACCCAAGCACTCCCGCGCCCAGGCAGGGGTTAACCTCTGGCCATACTCTACGGCCGGGGAGTCAGTCAGCTGTCCTGCCATGACCACACTCACTCCCAACGCCCGGGGCCTCCATTTCCCTTCTGGGGTCTATGAGGAAGCAGAGACTGCAGCACTGACGGCGCAGCCGCGCCCGGTGGTCTGGCCGCCGACCCCCAGCTGAGCTCTGAACCCGTGAACAACGGCTCCTCTGTCCGAGGTCGCCGGACTGGTTTGTGTCTGGCCCAGCAGGGACGGGGTAGGGGGTCCTGTGGGGTGACGTAGTGCCCAGGGGCCCCTGGAGCGGAGCCAGCGCTCCCCACATTCTGGCACGTGTCCTGTCTAGGGCCACGGCCTCCTGTTCCCCCCTCCGGCCTCAGTTTCCCCATCTGCAGTGATATCCAGCAGATCTGCTCGTGGACGCAGAGGTGCGTGCCTACGTGCTTGTGTGCGCGAGCACCTGTGAGCACACGGGTTCGCGCACGCCCGGGGCACTGTGGTGCTCAGCCTGGCTGAGGGCCAGGGCCCGCAACTGGGGCCTAACCTGAGGCGCGAGCTCCTGATCGTCCCTCAGAGCTCAGGCCCTCCACTAGAGCCTGCCCAGGCCTTCCGGGTGGCCTGCCCAGTCTCCATGGCAACCGCCCCCCCACTGCCTCGGTGCCGAGTCTTCAGAGCCCATAGGGTCGGAACCCTGAGAACCCGAGGGCTGCCTCCTCCTGCTCGGTTAACACGGGAAGCCCTGGAAGCCCTACCCTGTCTCCCGTGCCTCAGTTCCCCAGCCTGCCCATTCCTCTGTGACCATAGGGTCCCATGTAGCCCAGGCTGGACTCCGACTCTGTAGCTGAGGCTGACCCAGCACTCCTGCCCCTCCCGCCTCCACCTCTTGGGTGCTGGGGTGACATGTGCCACCGATTCTGATTTGGGGGGGTCATTCGATTCTAGAAAATCATGGGGGCCCTGGGGAGGGGGCTCCCGGACCCATGCTTCAGGCAGGGTCTGTGCCTCAGTTTCCCCGTCAGCACTACACAGTTTTTCCCAGAAAGTTTGTGGGTTCTTAGTGGTTCCAGATGGGGAAACTGAGGCCTCCTGGAGCCTGGGTCCTCACCTCCCTCTGAGGGCCCCACCCGCCAGCAGGACGCACATCTGGGGGCAAAGCAGCAACATCTGCAGAGCACAGCTGGTTCCGATGAGCTGTGGGGGCCGCGGCCGGGGGAGGCCTTTGGGGCTCAGTCGGTTGGGGGGGACACAGTGGCTCCCTTATAGCTGAGGAGAGAGCCAAGGACACCAGGGTTCTGCACCTCTAGGGCCTGGGCGATGCCCGACTGGTCAAACTCCTGTTCATACCTCAAAGCCCCAATTCCAACATCTCCCTCCACACGCTTCCTTAATATGCTCTTATTACTGCGTGCAAGTCTGCGGGAGCATGCACCGCACCGTGCCTGCGCGTCTGCCAAGGTCAGAGGGCAGCTGTGGAGTCGGGACAACACTCGGGGGGCCAGAGTCAGCTCGGCTGTCCCGTCCCCAAGCGAACACAGGTCAGTGGTGGCTCACGGCGGCTCAGCAGATGGCTTTAAACCGGAGGGTCGCAGTCTCGGTGCCCCTCCTAACCGCCCCAACCCAGGCTGGACCAGAGACGTGGACCTCGCCTGCAGGACACACAGCACGGGAGTGCCCGCCCCCAGGCTGGCAGTCATGGCAGAAGGCCCCGTGGATAACCGGATCAGGCTAATGCGGGCTGAGCCGCCGGCTGGGTCAGAGGGCGGCTGGGAGGGGTCACCCCCCTTCGAGTTCTGACCATCTGGCTCGGAAGGGAAACTGAGGCAGGCCCCGGGTGCGGCAGTAACGGGGCAAGGGGAGGGGAGGAGGACCTGCCTGCATTTTCCTTCCTTTCCAAATTCAAAGTTTGGTCTCGGGTCCTAGATAAAGGAGTCTGTTCTCCAAGCCTCAGTTTCCCCAGACGGGGGCTGAGACACAGCCGAGAGCTTTCTCTTTCCTCTCACCCTGTTTATTTATTGACCTTTTAAAGGCATCAGTTTCATTATTTGAACTACACACGTGTGAGTGCCAGGCTAGGGCAGGGGCACTGAAGCCTGGGGCTGGGGTCACAGGCCACAGGGGTCATGCGCCGCGGGGTCACAGGCTGCCAGGCCATCGGAGAGAGCAAGGCTCGCTCTGACTTCTCTGGTACAGTTTCCCTTCGCTCTCCTGAGTCAGCGTAGACCAGGCTGGAATCTGTGTAGCTGAGGCTTACCTTGAAAGGCTGGGGCTCCAGCTTCCGAGCGTCTGAGCACAGGCCCGAGGTGCCACAGCTGCTCCCCAAGCGCCCTCTGCCAACCCTCCAGCACATGCCCCTCCGCAGGATCGCCCTGATCGTCCCCCGAACAAGCCAAGCCCTTTCTGTTCTGTTCCTTCCCCACTTACGAAACTCCTACTCGGCCTGCCCAGCCCGCCCGGGACTCCCCTCTTCCAGGAAGTCTTCCCTGAGTCCTCCTCCCCGCCAACGATTCCCCAGCGGCACACGGGTCCCCTTATCCCGGGGCGTGGACGCCAGCCGGGCCCCTCGACGGACAGTGCCGCGGGCTAGCATTTGTTGGCGGCATCCCTGGGGTCTGTGTCGTTTTGTTAGGTTGGTTTCTGGTGCCCGGCTCCGAGGCTGCTTGGTGGTGTTTTTGTTGTTTAACTCTGAGAACGGGACGGTGGCGTCGGGACAGGATGGGGGGTACCCGGCTGAGGCGGGCATTTGTTTTCGCCCCTGCCATAGCCAGCCCTTTGTAGTTGCTTTGGGGTTTGCGGCCGACGACCGGGGACCCTCAGAAGCCCCGGATGAAAGAGCGGGAGGGACTGTCCCGACCCTGGCCCCAGGCGACGAGCTGGTCAGGCTGGAATCTGCCCGCCACTGACATCCTGCCCCGTCACGCCCCATGGGGCTTCCTCAGCCCGGGGCGCTGACACACACAAAGGGTGTCCCAGAACGTCAGGGGCGTGAGGCCCGCGAAGGCAGTGGGACGGAACCCCGGGGTCCGTTCCCGGCACAGCCCTCCTCCCCCGGGGTCCGCCCCCTCCGCGACCCCGCGAGCCGGGCAGGTGCTCCCCCAACTCCGCATCGCGGCATCTGGCCCGGGCTTCAGGACTTCTACCTCCGGTCCCACCTGAAGTCTGCCCACCCTGCTGCAGCCAGCCCTATGCCTGCTGACTAAGCCGAATTATCTGGGGATAATGTGGAGCACGAACTCGGAAAGCGGGGAGCACACCCCCGTTTCCAATCTGAGCTTTGCCCTTAAGGGACCCCCCCTATGCAAAGAGTCCCACGCCCTCTTGTGGTTGAAGAGCGACTCAGGAGCCCAGTGGCCCGGCCCTTACCGGGGAGGACACGGTGTCCCCGGGCGCGCAGGGAACGCGCCCCTGACGTGTTTACTTCTGTGCGCCGCAGGGCTGCGCGCGGCCGGGCCCCTCCCGGGGTTCCCGCCTCCACGATGTACCCCCTCCATTCTCCCTGCCCGACGGGGCGCCCGCGGGGGGCCGGCAGCCTTCCACGGGAGCCGGGGGCGTAGGGGCCCGGAGCGCGCCCCATCGCCTGCCGAGCCTCTCAGTGACCCGCGAGGGGCGCCTTGGACACCCTCCCCGCACTGCCCCCCAGGACTCGGCTTACCTGCCGCGGGCTCCAGATGACCCGGTCAGTGGTGACTCCTCCGGCCACCCGAGCCCGGCCCGGCCCCAGTCACCGCGTGCGCCATCCGGATCGCGGGGACCCGAGGCGACCCGGGAACCCCGTGCCGGAGGAGGCCACCGCACGGGGTGCGGGACACGGGCCGGGCCATGGGGTTTCCCCCCCTGTCCTCCCTTTCTCCGGTTTCCCGAGGCTCGCCGGGCTCAGCGCACCCCGGGGCGGCGCGCGTGGGAGGCCGGACCGCGCTCGGGACGCGGGGCCACGCGGGGGGCGCGGGGCGCACGAACCGAGCCACCGCGCGCTCTCCCCTCGCTCCCGCCGCGCTCCGCTCGGGCCGGCTGGGCTGGAGGGGGCGTGGCCTTCCCGGAGGCGTGGACGTGGGCGTGGCATAGGCTTTCCCGGGCTCGGCACCGCCCTCGCTCCGCCCACAGCCACAGGGGCGCGCCGGGAGAGCAGGTGGCAGGAGCGCGGGAGGCCCCAGCCGGTAGACCGATCAATCGATCGGTCAGCACCGCCCCCCGCACTCTCCTTTGTCTGAGACTCTGCGTCCCGGGATCTAGTCCTCCGTAACTTTGCACACCCTCCCCATGTCCCCGGCTCCCCATCTAGACCCCTTAAACTACCCACGAGCAGAAACTTGCAGAGCATCGCGTACTTCCAGATTGCTGTCCCGGACGCTCTGTGGCTAAGTTGAAACCTCAAGTCCCATTCGCCCCGTGATCCTCCGTGGCCAACCAAAGGCCACTCTGCACCCACCCAAGGTCCCCCACGAGGCCTTCCAACCCTAAGCCCAGCGCACTGTCCGCTCTGAGAACCTCCCAGGGAAACTGAGTTCAAAGTCTTCTCAGACATCCTAGATTATGTGGGTCCCGTTGTCCGCGGTGAACCACGCCCATCATCACTTCCTATCATCCTGCCCCTCCATCCCCGTAGGGGAGGGACCCCACCTCTCAAACCCCACACACCCTACTCCTCCCCAGCCTGCGCTCCACAAGCGCCCCCTAGCGGAGCCCGAGCTTTCCGGGGCGTGGTGGGCGGGGCGAGAAGGCTGTGGCCACGCCCCATCCACACCCAGTTGCTGAGAAACCTTGGTGGGGCCCCGCCCTCGGCATCCCTTGCCAGCTCTTCCTCAGCACCCTGGCTGCCACCTGCCACCTGCCCCACAGTTAATGTTCTCTTATCCCAGAAGCCTTTTCAGGACCAACCCCCAAACCAGCCCCACCTCTTCCCAAGGGCCTGTGCTGCCCTCCTCTCCCCCATGCCGGCCGTGTTTGTGCGCATGTGCCTGTCGGGGACAGGTGGCAACGTGGGTTTGTTTGACTCCTTGGGTCAGAGCAGCAGACTCTGAAAGTCACCCAAGCCCTGTGTGTTCAGAGACCTGAGGCAGCCGACTCCTTCCCGGGCCTGCGACTTGCTGAGGGACCGCCCGGTGCCGCGGGCGTGGGGTGGGCGTGGGTGGAGGGGCTGGGGTCAGGGTGTGCAAGGGGGAGATGGGCCAGAGCTTGGGACGGGGAACTGGGGCGAGGGCGTGGGCGGGGAGATAGGGCAGAGGTGTGGCCCGGGGAAGATGGGTGAGGGCCTGGCGCGGGAGAGATGGGTGAGGACCTGGCAAGGGAGAGAGGGGGTGAGGGTGTGCCACAGGGGAAGGGGGGAGGGCCTGGCACCCAGGGAAGAGACAGTGGCCCGCCGTGGGGGAGACGGGACGCTCGGCACCGGTTTTCCGAAGATGAAGGCATCTTCCCCACCCATTGTCCCTCAGAGCTGGACGCTGCTGAGCAGGGTGCCAGCACACGCAGGTCCTTGACAGCGGCCCACTCAGATGTGGGCCCTGTGCACGCCAGGCACGCTGACTCACACACAGGTCCTCTCGCCCTGCACACAGAGGCCCTCCCCTCAGGCATCCTGCCCACTCGCTCGGTTCTGCTGCAGCCTGTGCTGCCGGACACACACCCTCACAGCGGCCAATCCACACAGACGGTAGAGCTGCTCCTTGTCTGTGTCTGTCACGCCCAACTCTGGTGCAAGGCCCACACAGACACACACCCACGTGCAAAAAGCGCACAGCTCCTGCGGCCACGGCACTCGCCACACACGGTGGCCCGGTGGGGGTGACCAGGCCCCCCTCGCACACAGAGCTGGCCAGAGCCCGCCCCTCCTGGGCCAGCCCCCACGAAGCTGTCACCAGCCGCCCGTGGCCACCTCTGCTCACTCGGCCTCGCCGGGACTGGGGGTGGGGCAGACAGACACATGGGGAGCAGGACGCACACATGTGCCCACCATGTGGACGCTCATAAAACGGTTGCCCTGACAACCAGGACTTGAAAGACCGGGCTCTTCCTCTGGGATAGGGGTGCAGGGGTGGGGCTGACACCAGCAGGCGGGATGGGAGCAAAGGGCACGGACACAGGACCTGTACCCACCTGTGACCCCATTCCTGGGATCTCGTCAGCCTCAGAGATGCAGAGTGGCTGTCTCGCTCGGGGCCGGACGCGGTCACACCAGGAACACGGGTGCCGGCTATCCCAGCCGCCTTCCAGATCACCCACGCGCTGTCACCCTCCAGACCGAGGGCAGCAAATGGATGGCCTGGCGTACAGTGAGTCACACCTCCTCCGGGAACGGGGACACGCGCGCACGCGAGCACACTCACACCATCAACCTCTGCTTCCACACTTCTCTACCACCAGCTAAGAGAGGCCGGTTCTCCTGCTGGATCTTGGGCGCGGGCGATGCCTCGTGGGGACCGGCGCTGCCAGCGGACGGCGTCTCTGGCTGAGCTCAGGGCTGCTGGACTGGCGGTGTTGACAGGATTTTGTTGAGTTCTTTCGTCCCAGATGCAGGCCGTGTGGGATGAGGGACCGTTGCCAACAGATCTAAACCTCAGTATCCTGTCAGGGCCTTGACATGGGGAAACTGAGGCACAAAGAGGCACAGACAAATGCAGTCCCTTTGATCCATTTTAACAAGGGCGAGGGGCCCTGGTAGATGTGATGAGAACTGAGTTCCGAGCCCCGACCCACCTGCTGCTGGGTGTCACCCTCTCCAAATCGTCTCCCAGCAACACCCTGGGCCCGGCCATCCTGTCTACTTGGTGCTGGGTCACACAGTCAGAGGCTGTGGCTTGGAGACTTTGCAGAACGCCCAGGCCTGACCACCCGTCTCCCCCTGCTCCAGAGCGGGCCTGACCTCTCCTGGAGGCCACCATTCCCAAGGGGAAGCACTCTGTTCTTGGGTGGAGACCCAGACCAAGGCTCTGTGAGGCTGGCGGCCTTTGGCCAAAACATGAACTTGGCTGATGAGGAAGTTTCCATCTTAGTGTTGGGAGTTGGTCCAGGTTCAGCCGTTTGGGAGCTGGACCTCCACCCCCCCCCCCCCCGGGGACCCCCAGGGACCAGCCCAGAGGGGTTGGAGGTGGCTGGGAACTCAGTGTGTCCTCTATGCCTCTTGGCCACCTCCTATGACTATTAATTTCATATGCTCCATCCTGCAGTGTGTGTGGAGGTGACAGATTGCCCAGCCTCAGTTTACCCATCTGTAAAGTAGCTCTTAGGTGTGTCTGAGACATAGCCTTGGGTACCCTCTATATGACAGGATTGTCCTTGGGGCTCCCTTCTAGCACGGGGTTTCATTTTGAGAAAGGGTCCCATACTGTAGCCCAGGCCAGCCTGGAACCTGCTGTGTAGCTGATGATGACCTTGAACCCCCGATCCTTGGAGCTTGCTCGAAGAGCTGGTCTCTGAAGTTCTGGGGATGGAAGCAAGGCTTCAACTGTTCCGCCAAGGCCCCCACCCACCGAGCCCAGACCAGGCTCGACCTCCGACAAAGCCTTGCCCTGTGGCCCAGCTGGCCTGCAACTCCCTATCCTCCGGCTTCCACGGTTTTCAGCAGTGGGTTCTGGGACCTTGGGGTGACTGTCAGTCCTAATGTGGGAGATGCCGAGGAGCCTCCCGCATCACTTGACACACTCTCTCTCTGGTGTTGGCGGGGGGGTGGGGGAGATGGGGTCACGGGCAAACCGAGGCCAGAAGGGGGCTCTTAGCGGCCCGTGGGCGGCAGGAAGCAGCAAAGCTGCAGTTTCGGGCTGGGATGGTAAAAACAGGACCCAGGCTGTTCCCTTGGGGGCCATCGACAGCCCGGGGTCAGAGGTGAAGGCCGAGTCCCCGCGGGCTCCTGGGTCAGGAAGGTGGGAAACGCATCACGTCGACCACCTGGGCAGCGGCTCCCGCGGAAAAGCCGGGGGCGGAGCCTGCGGAGAGGGGCGGGGCTGGAGGCGGGCTTGCTCGCAGGCCGCGGTGCGCACGCGCGCACTCGCAGGCGCCGCCAGCCGTAGTGGTGCCGGGCGCTCGGCCACCGCTTGGCTCCGGCTGCTCTAATCCCCCTGCTCCCGACCTGCAGCCCCGAGATAAGGACCCAGCTGCAGACGCAGATAAAGGAATTGCAGCCACACAAATCCGGGAGGACAGCCGTGGGCACCCAGCCCAGGGCTGCACCTGCCAGACTTGAGAGGGAAGGGGCGGCCGGGAGTGGGGGTACCCAGGCAGGCACAGATCAAGGAGGGATCCCAGCCTGGCAAGCCGGCCACTAACTAGGGAAGCTGAGGCAGGGGGATTGCCGTGAATTTGGGGTTGCCTTGGGAAAGTGAGACTTTGTCACAAAAAGACAAAAATGAAAGACAGAGGGGAGAGAGAATGCCAAACATGGTGTAAGACACACTTGAGGTGTGGAGGCAGGAGGATCAGGAGTTCAAGGTCATTTCCAGCCACAGTGAGTTGGAGACTAGCCTGGGCTACCTGAGACCTTATCTGAAAAAAGAAAAAAAAAACCAAATTAGGCTAAAATAGGAAGAATTGAAGAGCCAGGTGGAGAGGATGGGAGGAGGCAGCAGCTGGGACCCTTGAGTCTGCCCTGCCCCCACCTGGCGCCTAAGTCTCCCTAAGTGCTGGCCACAGCCACCTGCCCCCCTCACTTCCTGGTGTCAGCTGAGATCAGGCCTGGGCATGGCTGGCCACAGCTCCAGGGGATTATCTGGATCCCGCAGTTCAGGGAGCCAGACTCCCCCAAAGGCGACGGCGGGTGACCTGGGTGTGGAAGCTGCCAGAGGAGAAAGGGGTGGGGTAGTGTGCAGGCTGGAAGCGTGTTCCGGGAGGAGGGAAGAGCGAGTGCACGGGCGAGGAGATAAGGCCGGTTCTTGGAAGTGAACCGTCGTGCTGCAGCGGGAAGGGCTGCGGCGCGGCCCGAGTCTGCGCCGGGGCTGGTACAGGGCCTGGAACACATCTCACTAGTCGCTTAGCTGCTGCACCACTGAGTTCGCATCGCCGTGAACGCTGCACATCATGGTTAAGGATGATCAGTTATGGGCTGCCGAGGCCTCCTGTGGGAAGCCTGCCGGGGTTGCCGTGCACTGACCGGGATCTTGTCCCTGAGGTCGCCCTTTGGGGGCCTCAGTGAACACCACTGAGTGTGTCCTCATGGCGAAGAGACCCCAGCCTTTCCGTGCATACTGTGTTATTATCATCTTGTCCTGCAGAGGGAGGTAGAGGGCAACGGAGCAATCAGGGCACCATCGAGGGCTTAGGCTAATTAACCCCTTTCCCTCTCTGGGCCTCAGTTTCCTCTTGTGTTATATGACCAGCACAGGGCCTAGTTCCTGCGTTGGGGCCCAGCTTGTGCCACAGTGAGACCCTGTCTCCTCTCTAAGAATGATTATACCTATTGATTGGTTTGACCTGGCTTTGGTTTTTGAGACGTGTAGCTCAGCGTGGCCCCAACCTCCTCCAGATCCTGCTGCCATGTGCAGGGATGACAGGTGTGCTCTGCCATGGCTTCCTGTGGAGGGAGAGAGCTGGGGCCTCGCGCACAATGGGCTACATCCTTAATCGTTTCAACAGTTTCATTAAAACAGTAATTGTGGGATAAGTAGGGAGAAACGCCTGCTGCCAGCGCAGACTGGGGTTCAATCTCCGGGACCCACATGGGGAAGCCGAGACCCTTCAAAACTGTCTCCGGGCCTGCACACACTCGTGACACAGGAAACACCCCTCTCCACAATAGATGAGAAAATGAAACTCTAAAAAGGCAACACGGAGCCGGTTGTGGGTGGGTCACACCTATAATCCCAACACTCGGGAGGCAGACGGAGGGGGATCTCCGTGAGTTGGAGGCCGGCCTGGTCTACAGAGTTCCAGGAGAGTCAAGGCTACACAGAGAAACCCTGTCTTGAAATTTGAAAAAAAAAAAAAAAAAAAAAAAAGCAACACTGGCACACGCCTTTAATCCCAGCACTCAGCATGCGGGGCTACACAGTGAAAGGCAACAAAATAAAAACAAATACAAACTGCACCTGTTTTACGGGGCACATTGGCTCACATGCCTCCAAGGAGGGCATGTCACTGTGAAGTCACTGGAACCCTTCTTGCAGTTTTTGTCTGTTTTTCACGACAGGGTGTTTCTGTGGAGCTCTGGCTGGCTTGGATCTCAAGAGACCCGCCTGCCTCTGCCCCCCGAGTGCTGGGATTAAAGGCCTGCGGCACCGGGCTGCTTTATTATTATAAGATCATATTACAAAATCACAGACACGTTTCCTAGAAAGATAAATAAAAAGGCAGCGTCGCCCGTGTGAGGTGCAGTCCCCGACTCCACGGACCCACTTCCACAAGGAAACAGCGACCGACGGGAGCCGACGCGCGAACCCCGCGGGAGGACCCCGCGGCACTTCCGGCTCCTGCCGCCCTGCCCAGCCCAGGACGGCCCGCGCACGCCTAGCGGCCCTGGTGCGGTGTGAGCATGCGCACTCCCCTCGGCAGACTCTGGAAGACACGAGCGACCCGGAAGACTTTCCTGCCACACTCCAGAGCCGGTGTGAGAGGCGTCGATGGCGGAGGGTGCGAAGGCGGCAGCTGAGAGCGGTGGTGGCGGCGACTCCGGAGCAGGCGCATGCGAACGCGGAGTGGCGCCCATTAAACCTCAGTAAGTCGCTGGCGTCCGACGGCGAAGCCGAGGGACCTTCCCGGCGTCCATGGCACGGCGCGAGTGGTGCATGCCGGGAGGTGTGGCGGTGTCCTGGAGGGAGCAGCCGGCGGCACCACAGTCTCTACGGACTTGCTGACGCGCTAGTGTAATATGTATGGTTGTCACATGCGTTAGGGTTGACTTTGCGCATGTGCGGCGCGGGGAAGGGGGGGGACACTAGGCGCGCGGTGCACGCTGGGGCTTGTAGTCTTCCCTGCGCAAGGCAAAACGGCGTGCGTGTCTATCACTTCCGGTTATGGTTACAGACCACTTCTGTATGTGGGCCGAAAGACCTCCTGGGAAGTGTGGCAGTCTGGTTTCCGCTGCCAAGCATACTGGGACTTGTAGTTCCTTCATAGTCTAACGTGAATGTTGGCATTTGTAAGACTTGTAAGACAATGCAGCTCAGCCGGGCGTGGCGCACGCCTTTGATCCCTGCAGAGGCAGGGCAGGTGGAGCTCTGTGAATTCGCGGCCAGCCTGGTCTACAAATCCAGTCCAGGACAGCCAGAACAACTCTCTACCCACCAAAAACAGACAATGCATGGGTCCTTCAAATGCAAGATAGGTGTCCACCTGGCACTGGGGTGCCCCAGGGTAAGAGCTGGCTGGTTCTAAGTAGTGAGCCTCCTGTCAGCAGAAGCATGTGAGCCGGACATTAGTCCCCAGGTGCCTTTTGGTGTGCAAACTGAGCCTCTTCCTCTCTGGCAGGTACCGAACCACCAAGGAACGGTTCCATGAATACCTGGACGCAGACAAGGGGGAGGGTGTATGCCAGGAAACACCCGCAGGAGATGGCAATGAAGACACGGCCGAGCCAGAGGCCAAAAGGAGCCGTCTGGAAGATGGGCAGGAGAACGGGAAGACGGAGGTGGCAGTTGAATCCTCTGAACAGAGGCAGGTGCCCAAGAGGGCCCGTGGCCAAAACAAAAGCCGGCCCCACGTGAAGCCAGCGCACTATGACAAGGAGAGGCTGTGCCCGTCCCTTCTCCAGGTGAGAGCTGGCCTGGGCTTTCCACGGCCATCTCAGAGCCTGTAGGAGCCTCACCCAGCAGTATTGTGGCTTCCCGCTGCTGCACAGTGCTGCTGCAGGATCGACAGTCCTCAGCCCAGCTGCGCTGCACACTCCCATTTATTTATTTATTTATTTTGGTTCTTGGAGACAGGGTTTCTCTGTGTAGCCCTGGTTGTCCCAGAACTGGCCCTGTAGACCAGGCTGGCCTCAAGCCCAGAGAGCACTGTGGAGTGCCTGCATCGCCACAGCCCCACTATTTCATTTATTTACTTTTAAAATGGCATTATATGCCCTGGAACCGGAGTTACAGGCAGTTGTGAGCTGCCGCTTGGTTGCTGGGAATCAGACTCAGGTTGTGGGCAAGAGCAGCTGGCTCTTGACACCTGGGCCATCACTCTAGCTTATGTGAGCCTGACACTGTTCCAGCTTAGGGCTGGCAGCAGGGCTTTCAGGGGCTGCTGACACTCGCCCAGGGCCACACAGCTGGGAGAAGAGCTCCCCTCGATGCCTGGCTGCTCAGCCCTCGCCGGTCCCTTCCCGTCCTCCACAGGAGCTGGCGACTCCGTGTGCGTTTGGAGACCGCTGCCGTTTCCTGCATGACGTAGAGCGTTACCTGGAGACCAAACCAGCGGACCTGGGCCCTCGCTGCGTGCTCTTCGACACCTTTGGCCGTTGCCCTTACAGCGTTACCTGTCGCTTTGCTGGGGCGCACCTGGGGCCGGGAGGTCAGAACCTGGTGTTGGAGGAAGTGGCGGCCCGCTGTGCCCACCTCCCCTCTGTGCGCAATGGCCTGGACAGGGCCCTGCAGCAGCAGCTGCGGAAGCGCCAGGTGTGCTTTGAGCGAGCTGAGCAGGCCCTGCGCAACCTCACGCAGGGCCCCGTGCCTGTGGCCATTCCTGAGACCACTGTGGCCACGGTGACCCCAGAGCAGAACAGCTGCCACGCCCAGCCAGACCCCGTAGGAGGGGCCGGCACCCCACATGGCAGCCCTGTGCCCACCTGTGGCCCCCTGACAGACGAGGATGTTGTCCGGCTGCGTGCCTGCGAAAAGAAGCGGGTAAGGGGCAGGCCTGGCAGCTGGGCTCCTGCCCCGTCCACAGGCCTGTCTGGGCAGAAGGAGCCTGACCTGTGCTCTTTTCCCCTCCAGCTGGACATCAGAGGGAAGCTGTACCTGGCTCCGCTCACCACGGTAGGAGGTGGCTGGGGAAGGGCAGCCCTGTGGTTCCCTGGGGCTCCTCGGGGCTCTGCTCTCGCGACCTCTGAGGCCTGAACATGCCCGTATCCTGGCCAGTGTGGGAACCTGCCCTTCCGCCGCATCTGCAAGCGCTTTGGTGCAGATGTCACCTGTGGTGAGATGGCCGTGTGCACAAACCTGCTCCAGGGACAGATGTCCGAGTGGGCCTTGCTCAAGCGCCACCCGTGCGAGGACATCTTTGGGGTGCAGGTCAGTGTCTGTCCCGACGGTGGCTGGGAAGGGCTGCCGTGTTGGGGAGCGGTGCTGTGGCCCTGCCTTCCTTCCTGCTGTCCCTGGGTCGGCGTGCTGACCCCAGTGGGCCAGTCACCAACCACACTGCGCCCGGTGCAGCTAGAGGGTGCCTTCCCCGACACCATGACCAAATGCGCGGAGCTCCTGAATCGCACCATTGACGTAGACTTTGTGGACATCAACGTGGGCTGCCCCATCGATCTTGTCTACAAGAAGGTGATGGCCACTGCGCCCCGGAGCCAGGGGCGGGTGTGGCCTAATGCCCCCTTTTCCCCATCCGGGTAGAGGGCGCCCTGAGGCGGGCGGCGGGCAAGTTAGCTGCGCGTGGCTGCGCACAGGGGGTGTCCGTGTTTCTCGGAGGGTCATCAGGGTCTGTGTCCTGCAGGGTGGCGGCTGCGCCCTCATGAACCGCTCAGCCAAGTTCCAGCAGATTGTGCGAGGTGTGAATGAGGTAACCTGGGCTCATCCGGGCTGTGGGCCTTCTCTGTCCCCCAGCGTCTGCTGTGTAGCGTCCAGCCCCGCTGATGCCTCACCCCCTCGCCCCACAGGTGCTGGATGTGCCGCTGACTGTTAAGATGCGCACCGGCGTCCAAGAGCGCGTGAGCCTAGCACACCGCCTGCTGCCCGAGTTACGGGACTGGGGCGTCGCACTGGTCACGGTGGGTGTCGGCGCCCCTGTGGCCCTCCTGGTCTTTTGTTTTCTGTCTCCTTTGGCTCCGTGCTGTCTCTCTGGGCTCCCTCCTGCCCTTCACCTCGGGGGCCCCGAGGCCTGTTCCCCTCGAGCTTACCTCCTCATTGCTTCGCCCCGCCTCACAGCTTCACGGCCGCTCCCGAGAACAGCGCTACACCAGGCTGGCTGACTGGCCCTACATAGAGCACTGTGCCAGGGTGGCCAGCCCCATGCCCCTGTTCGGTAGGTGCCAGGGCCACCGGGGCCTCCCGCCCTGCTGACCTCTCAGCCGGGAAGACGGGAGGATGCTGGGCCCCGGAAGATCCAGGACCGACCCCAGGTCCATGGGGCCTTCCCCAGGTCCATGTCAAGACCCCGCTCTGTCTCCTCAGGAAATGGGGACATCCTTTCATTTGAGGACGCCAACTCTGCCATGCAGACAGGCGTTGCAGGGATCATGGTTGCCCGGTAAGCGGTAGCTGGGCTGGGACAAGGGTGCAGGAGTGTTGGCCCGGGGCTGCTGGGTGAGTGAGGCCCAGGCGCTGAGGTGACGGGAGCCAGCAGGCGTCAGGTCCTCACCGACTGTCTCCTCCACAGTGGTGCCTTGCTCAAGCCCTGGCTGTTCACGGAGATCAAGGAGCAGAGGCACTGGGACATCTCGTCCTCCGAGCGCCTGGACATCCTCAGGGACTTCACACACTATGGCCTGGAGCACTGGGGCTCTGACACGCAGGGCGTGGAGCGGACCCGGCGCTTCCTTCTTGAGTGGCTGTCCTTTCTTTGCAGGTGGACAGTGAACCGTTGGCCACGTAGGGGACTGGAGCCTCAGGCCTCGCCCGGCCTCATGGCCTCCTCTGCTCTCTCCACTTGGCAGGTATGTCCCTGTGGGCCTGCTCGAGCGACTCCCTCAGAGGATCAACGAGAGGCCGCCCTACTACCTAGGCCGTGACCATCTGGAGACGCTCATGGCCAGCCAGCAGGCTGCGGACTGGATTCGCATCAGGTACCCACTGGCCAGGGCTCTGTGGGGCAATGCTGGGAGGCCCAGGCCTAATTGTCACTCTTGTCCCCACAGTGAGATGCTGCTTGGACCAGTTCCCCCTGGCTTTGTCTTCCTGCCCAAGCACAAAGCCAACGCCTACAAGTAGCCAACGGAGACAATAAATTTTATTCTTCTACAATTTCTTCTTTGTTGGTTTTTTAAGATAAGGTCTCGTGTTGCCTAGGCTGGTCCTGAACTCCAGGAGCCCTAGGTGCATACCCACCTTTAAGCTGGGCTTTCTTAGGTTTCCTGAGGTGGCCTTCCCTCTTCGTCCAGGTTCTTGGCTGGTGTCTGGGCCCTCGGCATGGCTTTCTGTCTCCCGACTGTCCCGTTTTGTTGGCACTCGCCCTTGTGGCTGTGAGTTGGGTGACTTGCTGGAAGGCAGCAGCAGGACCTGACCCTGGAGTCATCTCTTACCCACCCCCGCCCCAGAACCCAGGTGCTGGGCCTGGACTGGAACCCTCCACCTAGCAACAAGGCAAACAGAACCCAGCGGGACTCTGTCCCCAGGTGCCTCTACTGCCACCCGGGCCCTCCCATGCAGCACCCCAAAACCCTCTACCCCCCAGCTATACCCCAGGAAGGCTTCGGCCCGCAGAGCCTGGAGGGCACTGAGGTGCCCGGTGGCCCAGAACCCCTTCCCACCGTAGGTATGATGGTGGGGCGGGCAGGGGTGTGTGATGGCCATGGGGCCTAGGCCCCTGCCCCACCCACCAGGCACCTTTGTCCACAGCCAACACCAATCTGCTGTATCAGACCCCCAGCTCAGACCAGGATGTGCTGCCAGCCCCTCCAGCAGGTACCGGCTGGCACCCCGAGCCTCACTGTGAGCAGGCTCCCTCCTCACCAGAGATGAGACCCCAAAACAGACCCTGAGTCACCTCTGTGCCTCCCCCCGCCCATAGTTAAACTTCTGTGCCACATTTTGAACTGACACCAAGGACCAGGCCAAAGCCTGCTTTGGTGACAGCAGCTGCCACTAGGCAAGACTTTCTGAGAGGCCCAGCCTCTCAAGCTCGGGTCAGTGGCCCTCTGAGGGGCAGGCCTCAGAGGACGGGACCCCTGCCTCGTCTCCTATGTGTCCCCATAGGACTGCTAAACAAAGCCGGTTGGCAAAGCGCCTCCAGGGTGAGGCTGTGTCCTGCATGCCTGGGTCCTGGTTCTCCCCCGACCCCGTGGCCTGGGTCCCCCCGAGGGTCCCCACTCAGGGTGTCTGCCACCCACAGGCTTCCAGATGGCTCCCTGCGGCTGCTTCTTCGACCCCCGCATCTACCGCATCGAATGGGCCACCTCCGACTTCGGCCAGTCATCCCTCTACAAGGTGGCAGTGGCTGGGGGTCCCGCCCTGCCTGGCGGCTACCTGCTGGAGGCCCCGTCCTACCTCAAGGCCCCGGGGCCGCCGCCTCCGCTCTACCCCCATTACCAGCCGGCCCCCAGTGGGCCACCATACCTCACACACTACCTTCCACCGGAGGCGCCTGGGCCCGAGGCGCTGGGCTTTGTGCGGGACGGAGGGCCTCACAACTTCATGGAGATGCTCAGAGAAGGCCTGGCGCCTCCGCCGACCCCCAAAGAGACTAAGCCATCTCCCGTGCTCATCACAGTCCCCACAGTGCACACGCTGGCCCCCGGGCCTTACAGCCACCTCAGTGGCCACGCCAGCCAGTTCCCAGGGCCCCAGGTGACCGTGAGGCCCATTGAGGCTTCCAGGGAGCCACAGGGTAGTGGCGTGGCCAGGCCAGGGCTGCAGCTCCCTCCTGGGCCTGTGGAGCCCAAGGCAGCTGAGGTAGAGGAGGCGGCCCCCGCGGCCTCAGGCGAGACCATGCCTCCAGAGGTGGCTCGCGCCTTCTTCCTGCCGGACAAGGTCCTTCTGGAAGATGCCATGAAGCTTTTCGACTGTCTGCCTGGTGAAGATGCCATGAAGCTTTTCGACTGTCTGCCTGGTGGTGCCGAAGCGGAGGTGGCCCTGCACAGGTCTTCCGGCCCCGGACTTCGGGACAGCGGTGGAGGTGGGGACGACTGCCCGGCTGACATCCGCTCTCTGCACCTCCCGGATGAGCTGCTGTCCTTTGACTACAATGTCCCCGAGATCCTGGACGCGGTGGCCAACGTGGATTACTTTTTCAGCTTCAAGGCCCTGGACGATGAGCCACCACCCCACCTGGGGGTCCCTGTCACTGACATGGTGGCCCCTGGCCCTCGGTCCCATCAGTCGGGGAAGAAAGCCAGCCCATCTGCCAAGAAAGAAAAGACAGGCAGCGGCGGCGGCGGCAGACACAGGCAGACCACCGTTGCCACAGGACCCAGGCCGGACCTGGGAGCTGCCCCCAATTAAAGCCATTTGAGCTCACACGTGTGCACGTGTGTCCTGTTGCCGTGACCAGGCTGGAGTGCTCAGACTGCACGGGTAGGCAAAGGGGAGCCTGGCAGTCACCAGACGCCTTCAGAGTTGGGCCAGGAACTTCGGAATTGAAGTGTGAGGTATCAGGGAGGCTGAACTATCACCCCTGCACTCGGGGCACCCGGGCAGGGGCTAGCGGAGGCCAGTCTGGGCCCCCAAATACAACCCCATTTAAAAGACATAAGGACATGGGGGCTGGGCTGTGGCTCCGCTGGGAGGGTGTTGGGGCTCAGTTGCTAGTCACAGGCCTGGGGCTGCCCTTCCCAGGGCTGCATAAACTATGTTTGGTACATGGCTGTAATCCTAGCGCTGAGGAAGTGGAAGGGGGCAGGATCAGCATTTCAAGGCTGGCCTGAGCTTCAGGACACTGTCTCAAAAACGGAAATTGGTCACCAGGGGCTGGCCGTGTTGGAAGGTCTCTTGAGGAAGTGGAGTTTTCTTTTCCAGACACTGCACTGAAATGGGTTCCCTTGTATGGTTTGGTGGTGGGAACCAAAGTGTCCAGAGAGGAATGGACTCTCACGGAACACAGCGTGCAGGGCAGCTCCTGCAGAGCTGCTCTTCCTCCAGCAAGCTCCCTGCGCCTCACCTGTGCCCCACAAAGCCACAGTTTGTGGAAGACCGGGAGGACACTTCTGCTGTTGGTGGGCGTCTGGGTTGCTGGGCTCAGCCTAAGTGTGGTTGCTGGTGGTGGCAGGACAGGCCGTGGGAACCGGTGTGGGCTTTGGGTAGGATGCGGCATGCTGTGGGGGGCCTGATGGGCAGGCGACTGCCTGTTCCCAAGAAGGTGAGGGCGCCCGAAGGGAGCCATAGCAGCTAAGGGCAGAAGTGCGTGAGGCGGGTGGGGGGCCCCCGGGGCCCAAGCAAAGGTAGGAGAGGACTGCCCTCCACGCAGTCACACCTCACCCGTGTGTCACCGTGCTTGCTCAAGCCCAAGGCTGCCCTATCCCCCGACCCTCCTCCCGTCCTCATCGCCGCTTTGTAAATGTTTGTCAGTAGTAGCCCTGGCTATCCTGGAACCTATGTCAGGCAGGCTAGCCTGGACTCACACTGATGAGACACCCTCAAGGCCTACACCATCACGCCCAGCTTGCCTGCCTGGGTTCCTTCCTTCCTTCCTTCCCTTTCTTCCCCCTCCCCCGCCATCTCTCTAGACAGATCTCTTATAGGCCAGACTGGCCTCAATCCTGTGTAGCTGAAAAGCGCTTCTCTTGGTTTCTCCCGAGCTGGCGCTCAGGGCCTCCTGTGTGCAGGCGGACGCTCCATCCATCTACCCACGGAACGCAGCCCGCTTCTTGCCTGAGTTGGAGTTCTCTGCCTTGCTTCATGCTCAAGGCCCCTGCGAGCGTTTCTTCCCTTCTGTCCAGAGTCCCCCATGGCCCCCTTCTCAAGGTCACAGCGCAGAGAGACCGCCCTCTCCTGGGGCCTCCTCCCACCAAGTGCTGTTTGTAGAGCGATGGAAGGGGCTGTAAATCATGGGTAGGAAACAGTGTGGTGTGAAGGACTCACCTGCCTGGGCGTCCTCTAAGAAGCCCCCCCCCCCCCCGGACGAAGCACCACTGGAGATAGAGGGGGAGGCTGGGGCTCAGTGGACAGAGGCTCTGACTGGCATGCAGGCGTCCAGGCTAACCCCCGGCACCACAGAAACCGGGCATGTTAGCCCACCTGTTATCTCAGAACTAGGTGGAGACGGGAGGATCAGGAGTTCACCGTCATCTGCTGTTCCAGCGCTTGCCAGTCAGACTAAACTCAGTCTCGGAGTTTGGGGCTAACCTGATCTACACAGTTCCAGACCAGCTACATAGTGAAATCCTATCTATCTTTGAAAATAAGAAGCTGGGGTGCTGGAGAGATGGCTCAGTGGTTAAGAGCATTGTCTTGCTCTTCCAAAGGACCCGGGTTCAATTTCCAGCACCCACATGGCAGCTCACAACTGTCTGTGACTCCAGTTCCAAGGGAATCTGACACCTTCACTCCAATGTACATAAAATAAAATTTAAAAATAATAAAATTTTTAAAAAAAGCTGAAGCTGAGCCGGTCGTGGTGGCACACACCTTTTATCCTAGCACTTGGGAAGCAGAGGCAGGCAGATCTCTGTGAGTTCATGAGTTCGAGGCCAGCCTGGTCCACAAAGATAGTCCAGGACAGCCAGGGCTGTCACATGGAGAAACCCTGTCTCAAAAAACAAAAGCGGGGCAGCTAGAGAGATGGCTCAGCGGTGAAGAATACTCAGTCTGCTCTTCCAGAGGACCCGAGTTCAATTCTCAGCCCCTACATGGCAGCTTACAACTGTCTGTAGCTCCAGTTCCAGGGGACCCAACACCCTCACACACATATGCAGGCAAGACACCAAGGCATATAAAATAAAAAACTTAAAAACAAAAACACGACAACAAAAAAGAAGCTGGTTGTGCATTCCAATAATTGCAGCACGTCTGGGATGGCGACAGGACTGTTTGGTCTTGCTGGCCCAATCCTGGGTTCAAATGAGAGACTGTCTCTTCCAACCTCCTCCTCTGCCTTTCACATCACTCGCACAGATTCTAAAGAAGATGCCTGCCCCACCTCCACCCCCAGCAAATCCTGAGCTCTGCCTGGGGACGCACATGGATTTCATGATTATGGTTTTTGTCTGTGGTGTGCAGCAGGTGGAGCCCAAGGACACCGATTAGTACCAAAAGTGCCCCAGAGTTTGTCCCGGAACATGGCCTGGCCCAGTGTCCACAGTGACACTGAAGGCAGAACACTTGGCTGAAGGCTGGTCCCCGAGTGTCTGCCCGGTGATGCTGAGCTCCTGCCTGGTCCTGTGGTAACATCGGAATGGCGATGAATCCCACCTATCGCCCCTAGTCCCCCGCCTCTCCCATCCCAAGAATCTCTGGAATCCTGTTGAGGTCTGAGCACAGGAGAGCACTCGGACCAGGGAGGATATCTCTGTTCTGGGAATAGGCCCAGTCACTAAGGGTGGTAGGGCAGTGCCTGGAGCCTGACCCAGGGATGGAAACACAACAGCCAGGGAAGAGGGAGGAAAACCAGGAGGCAAGGGCACACTTCAGAAAGAGAACACTTTTCCACTCCTTTTTAAACGAATTATTTCAGGTGTTTGGGTGTTTTGCCTGGACGTGTGTATGCACCACGAGAGTGCAGTGCCTATGGGGGCCAGAGGAGGGCATCAGATCCCCAGGACCGCAGTTACAGATGGTGGTGTAGGCGCTGGGAATCGAACCTGGGCCCTCTGCAGAAGCACCCAGAGCTCCATCTCTTCAGCCCTCAAATCTTTAATGAAAGCTTTTCCCCAAACCATGAAGCAGCAGTGTCCCTTGAGCTCTCCATCGTCAGAGCTGGGGCAGGTTTGCTAACCACCACCAGACCGCCTATTCTGTGCATCTGTGAGTCAGGGAGCTGCTGTGGATACACACTCAGCCCAAGGTTCTGACAGAGGCCAACATTTGCCCTCGCCCTGGGTTCAGATACACCCTGAGAAGCGTCTGTCGGGCGCCAGGGACAGGACACCAGCTTGGGGCTGGCCTTGCTAGGGACACAAGGCCTCGACTCCCAGAAGGGACAGGCCCTGGGGTCAAAGGCTTAGTTTCTCTGGGAAGCCATAGTGCCAGTGTGGGAGACCGGCTGCCCCAAAGTGAGTCTGGGAGACAGCTACAGGATCCGCTGGGGCCGGAGCGTGGCTGGCGATCCACCTACCCTACAAAGGACAACACAGGCCAAGGCAAAATCCCAGTGTGTATTGGTTTCCACAAGGGGGAGAGACTGGGCAGGCCAGTCACCGTGAGCGCGTCTGTGTCCCCTCGGACACCATTTGTTAGAGCCGTCCTGTCTGGACTCTGGGTCTACAGGCTCTGTCTGTGAGCAAGTGCCGCGCAAATGAGCAAACATGGACGCCGGTGTGTTTCGATGGACACATCCACAAGAACCTTCTAAGAACAATTACAGCACAAAACCATCGGGGGAACACTTTTTCCAAGAAGAGAGAAACTATCATATTTCATTAGGCGCTTCCTAGCTGTGTGGTGTGGGGCTTGTGTTGAGGCAGAAGTCTCAACATGGTGACCACAGGGATGAGAGGGCCGTGTGTGGGGTGTGTAGAACTCGGCCCACGTGGCCTTGGTGTTCGTTTGTCCACAGAGATCTTGGGCTCTGCGGTTGAGAAGGGGGTGGCCACAGGCTAGCAGCCAGCATGGCTTGTCTGGAAGACTGCGGTGCCACAGGCTACATGGTGCTGCCAGGAGGCGTGGGCATGGCACCAGCCCTGCGGCTTCCTGGGCCCCTGGGTCATCTTGGTGTCAACTGTGAACTGCACAGGAAGTCTGGACTTGGGCAGATGGGCCATGTACCTGGGTTGGGCTGACCCACGTTGGCTGGTGCCTGGAACCTGTGACCCTTTGGGACTTAGGCCTGCCGGGACGAGACGAGATGCTGTTAGCATCTGTGATCCCTCTAGGGTCAGGGTCTGGGCCGGGAGGTCTCACCCATCCATGAGAGGCTTGGCAAGCATGGAGAGCAGAGCATGGGGGACCCTCGGAGCCCTGGGAGAAGGGCCATCCCTCCCGCTCTGGGCTCTGCTAGGGTTGGCTTTCTTTGAAATGGTGGCTTAAGTTGGGAGCAGCTGAGTGCGAAAGCAATGGAGCCAACTGGGACGGGTCTCATCACTCACAAACGCAGCAGGGTAGAGTGCTGGGACATGGGGCAGATGGGTCGCTGTGCCCCAAGGGATCTTCGCAGAGTGGGCAGCTGGACTTGGTTCCCCGAAGTCCCTGGCACCTTGGGGGTGCAGCACCCCCGGGTCACAGTAAACATGGCATCATCTAAGAGGCACTAGTGTGATAGATCTGAGAGTCCAGGTCCCTGGGGGCCAGGCGACGCCTTCCGGAAGCACATGGAAGACGCCCAGGGAAGGGCTAGATGCCCTGCAGTGGGTGGCTGGGGTCGCTTCGTTCCCGCTTCACCAGGGGCTCGCCCAGGCTGCGGCCATCCACATCTGCCTCACTGCTGTGCCCGTCCGCAATGTCCTCTGCGTGGGTGAGGGGACAGAGGTGCCACTATGAACAGAGTGGCCTATGACACCGCCTCACCTCTGCTCCGGGCCAGGCGAGCCCTCCTCACACCTTGTCAGGGGTCACAGGGGTCACGGGAGCTCCCACCACCTGCGATCCTCAAGCCTCCCCAGAGGCTGCCCCAATGGTGTGCAAGGGGCCCAAGAGCCCGGGCACGCTCACCTTTGTCCAGCAAGGTCAGCGACAGGGAGGCCAGATCATTGAACTGTAAGAGAAGGGAGCGTCACAGGCCTGCACAGGTAACAGTCACGAGGAGGAAGGAGCTCCCTGCTGCCGGGCCCTGGGGGCGAGTGGCCAGGAAGGGCTGGGCTCTGACACCGTGGCTGAGGGCTGTGTGGGGGGAGCCCTGCTCCTGGGGGTCCTGTCCCCGCCCACAGAGCACATGCCTTCCTGTGGCTTCATTTCTTTGCTCTGGAAGGATGTATTATAGTGTATGCGTGTGTGCGTGCATGTGTGTGCGTGCGTGCGTGTGTGCGCTCTGAGGCAGGCCTATGTGAGGGCTCCTGAGCTCAGAGGGGATGGGGGGAGCCTCCGGGACCTCACCTCGCCCATGACAGCAATGGGCGTCTCCCCGGTGGCCTGGGCCACGCGGTGCTCCACCAGATAGAACATGTACTCGTCATACAGCAGGCGGATGAGGTGGAAGGAGCCGAAGCTGGCGGCGCTGCGCAGGGTCAGGTCCCGGATCACCATGGAGCTGGGGACACAGGGGCAGACAATGGGTACCACCTGGGGGACTGAGTCTGGGGCCTCGGCCTGCCTCCGCTATGAGGCTCTGAGCCTGGATAGCAAGCAGGGCAAGGGCTGGCTGCTGGAGGCCACCAGGTTCCCAGGGGCAGGATGGCCAGCCACTCCCAGACGTACACAGGACAGAGGGGGACACGGGTGGGTACCGGCGGTACGCCTCAGCGCTAAGCTGCTAGCTTTGTGCTTCATTTTTAGCTTTTGAAAAAAACATACATTTAATTAATTAATTAATTAGTTCTTGAGACAAAGTCTTTCTACAAAGCCCTGGCTGTCCTGGACTCACTCTGTAGACCAGGCTGTCCTCACACTCACAGAGATCCTCCTGCCTCTGCCTCCGGAGCGCTGGGGTTACAGGCGTGCGCCACGCACAGACCCCCCGCCTTTTTAAATATGCTGCCTGTCTGTAGTGTGCCCTGGGGGTGCAGTGCCCAGGAAGCCAACCGCCTGGAATGGGAGTCCCCGACATCGTGAGCCAGCCTGTGGGGGCTGGGAATGAAAACCTCTGCAAGAGCAGCTGGTGCTCTTTCTTTCCCAGTGTGAGTCTCTCCAGCGCCTTGGTTCTGAGGCAGGACTGGGCTTATTGAGGCGGTGGCCAGTGAGCCCAGCCTGTCCCACCTCAGGGCTGACACCACAGGAGCATGAGTTCTTTTGTGCCGTCGATTCTGTTTTTATTCTTTTCTTTCATATTTCCTTCTCTTCTTTTTGAAGGGGGGGGCAGGGTCTCATTTTGTAGCCGAGCTCATGCTGGACTTCTTAGATCCCCAAAGCCAGCCACTGTTTTCTTCCATGATCCCCTGGCCCCCTCTCCCTACCCCCATAAACCTTCTGTGACCAGCAGTGAGCACGTGGCTGAGGGGCACTCTGAGACTGACCAGTGATTGATGGGGGAGTGATTGATTGTAACGTACTTGAGGCTGTCACCGACATACCCCTGATACGCCGGCACTGGAAGGGTGTCTCTGTAGGGACAGTGGCGCTCAGGCCTCCAGCTTTCTCCCCCTTCTTGGAGTGTGCAAGGGCCCCGCCCAGACAGCCCTCGCCCTAGTAGTTTGAGATGCTGGACGGTCCCACAGGGGACTTGTGTCTGAGGCTGTGAGCTCCAGCCCTGCCCTGGGCGCACAGGGCTGCACAGGGCCTCGGAGGGTGTGTGGCCCTCAGTGCGGCACCCCCCCCCCCACCGTGGGCGAGCCCGCTCACCTGTAGAAGGACCACTTGAGCAGGAACTGGCGGGCGGCCTTGGGGAAGCTGGGGCTGCCCGCGTGCTGCTTCAGCACCTGCGTGACCACGCTGTCCAGCCAGCTGGCCCACTGGTCCAGCGAGCTCTGCTGCTGCAGGGTGGCCTTGAAGTCATGCTCCAGGCGCTGCACCAGGCTCTCCTCGCACTGGCACACCCACGAGGCCTGTTCCTGCCAAGGGACAGTGGGTGAGGGCCTGGGGCTCTGCTCCTGCGTTTATTTCTAACAGGGTCTCAAGGAGCCCAGGCTAGCCTCAGATGGCAGGGGCAGCTGTGGATGACCCTGGACTCCTCGTGATGTGAAGCCCACATTGATGTGTTGCTGGGGACAGAGCCCAGGCTTTGGCATGCCAGGAGGTGCTGCCCCTGAGCCCCAGCTCCGCTTTTCCGTAGGAATCCCAGGTTTGTCTAAAACTCCCAGTCTTACTAGCTCAGTCTCCTAAATGCTGTGATGCCAGGCATGTGGCACTGAGCTCACAAAGGGTCCCTTCATCTGCTGAAAGGATGGCTCTGGACCCCCCAGGGGCTGTCCTCGACTCTGCAATGGTTTGTACTTTTCTGGCAAGGCAGGGCCAGACCCACGAGGTCCGGCAGCTGCGAGTGTTTGGAATGCAAACAGACAAGAGTGCTGCCTGTTAAACCGGCTTCAAAAGGGATCTGCGCCTGGTGAGGCGGCCTCAGGCTTCCCTGCTGCTCATGCGCAGGCCAGGCAAGGGAGCGCTGCCTGCTCCAGCTGGGGTCGGCGCGGGAGGGAGGACTCAGCCTGGAGCACCGCGGGGCACGCACACTGCCCAGTCACCTGCACATTGGCGAAGTCCACTCGGTTGAGGTCGCTCAGCATCTGGTTGATCTGGGCCGTGTTCTGCAGCACGGCGCGCGCTGCCTGCGCCAGGTGGTTGAGCGACGTGTAGCGCCGCAGCGTTTGAGCGAAGGCGCTCACAACACCCACCTGTGGGGGACCCAGGGCACAGGTCAGTAGAACCCCTCCCTCCATGGGGGGTGGGCAGACACATGCTCGCTCATGTACTCGGGCGTACACACACACACACACACACACACACACACACACACACACACACACACACACGCCGCCCTGCTCCCTGTAGGCCTGTGGGGACTCAGGACGGCAGAGGGAGCACTAGCAGGCTCTTACCCTGTGGGGAGGAGGGCCTCGCAGCAGCTCTAGATTGCCTGACTGAGGGGGGAACCCCGCCCACTGGGGAGCAGAGCCGGCCCGGGTGCCTAGCAGCCTCAGGCTCGGCCTGTGATGGCTCCCGGAGAAGACCTGCCTCCCTTGCGCTGCGGTGACAGGCAAGACAGCCCAGCCCACGGGCTGGGGTGGGGTGCAGGGCGGTCTTGGCCCTCCCCGGCTAACCATCACAGGGCATATCTTCCCCTCCTGGCTCTGTGAGGCCTTAGTGGAAGGTAAAGACACAGAGCGGGGGGAGGGCAAGGGGGGCCCCAGCACTCAGGCAACTGAGGCAGGAGGATTATGAGTTGGAAACAGGCACTTCGAGCTAAATGAGACGCTGCTTTGGAAGATTCGGGGAGTGAGGTGGGGGCCTAGAATGCTCACGCTCAACGAGCTGGTGTGTGTGTCAACATGTGGGGTGTGCAGGCCAGGGGCTGATGGTGGGTCTTCACCTCCCTTCTGTCTTATCAGTGCGTGAATGGGCATGTGTGGAGGTCAGAGGGCAGCCTGTGGGTCCCAGGGACCGACCCAGGCTTGCTGGCAGAGCTGGCACCCGAGAGCCCCCCTGTCAGGACTGTCCTGAGGCTTTGCTGATGAGGCCAGTGGCTGGCCCGGTGGCCCAGGGGTCCCTGTCTGCCATCTGCGCTGGCGTTACAGATGGGCGCCACGGTGACCAGAGGCTTCTGTAGAGCCAGGATCCAAATCAGGTCCTCAAGCTTAGGGGGCAAATGTGACCTCCTGAGCGCCAGCAGCCCTGTTCACATGGCCCGGAGTGCCTGGGCCACCTGTTTACACGGAATACTCTGACCGGAGGCCCAGATGACAGTCTGGTCGCCTGCTGGCCATTTCGGTGGTCTGCACCACCATGCCTCTCCCTGCCAGCTCCTCCCCCACCCCCACTGCATCCCGGGAGGCGCGTCTGGACACACAGGAGAAGTGGCCTGGGGACAGGGGAGCCACACTCTGGTACCTTGGTCTGGATGACCTGCTGGGGGAAGCCACTCATGGCATTGATGAGCCAGCCCTCTAAGCTCTTGGCGAAGTTCCTGATGGCCTGGGTCAGGGAACCTGGGGGTGTGAACCAGAGGCTTGTGTTGAGTGCGGTGCTGGCAGCCTCCCCACGGCCCCCCTGGATGCCAGTAGAGGCAGAAATCCCACAGAAGGGACAAGTCTGAGGGTGACTGGGAGGAGGGGCTGGGAGGGTGGCGACCAGACAGTTGGACCCTGCTCTGAGGAGACACCGGAGACTCCCTGGCTGGGAGCGTGTGGCCATCCCAGTGATGGAGCTCCTGGCAGGGAGACCAGTGCACCGCCCAGCACCCTCTGCGTTGCCTGGACTGTCCATGGTCAAGATGGATACGTCACCATTGCCACAGCATCAGGGTCAGACATGCATACACACATATGTACATGCGCACACGGACACACACAGTGTATTCTGTCAACATCCAAATTTATTTTATGCTGACTTGCTGTAAGCATAAATTCGCATTTCCTGGTTTTGTTTTTTGGACATAGCTGTCCTGGAACTCGCTCTGTAGAGCAGGCTGGCCTCCAACTCAGAGATCCTATTGCCTCTGCCTCTTGAATGCTGGGATGAAAAGGCATAAGCCACCATGCCCAGATAATCAGCTGTTTTTATTTTTATTTTTGTTTTCCTTTTAATTTTAACTTATTTTCAGAAAACATGTGAAAGCAGCATTGTCTTCCTGAGATGCCATCTTGGCTGGACCCGGGAGAGGCCATGCTCTGTGTTCCCAGCCTTTGGCAGGAAGCTCCCCCCTGCATTTAGATCTAGACTGGCAGGCACTCACAGCCCCACATACACACAGAGCACCGGCAGAGGGCACGTGGGGCTGGAGCTGGGCTCGCCGCCTACTCTGCGGTCCTGGGCACTGAGCCGGGCAGGGCCTGCATGGGTCCAAGGCTGTCTGGTGATCCCCTCTCTAGTGGGCTAGTCTTGGCCAATTCTAGCAAACACCCACGGTGGCCTGACATGTCCCTGAAACTGAAGTGGCCGCAATGGCTTTGCTAATAGATGACTCTTGGACGCCCTCGCCTGCACTCCATGGAACCTTCTGGAAAGGTACCTGTCCTGGCCGGCTCCTGGCACCCTGCTGCCTGCCTGGCAGAGCAACCTGGGGCCTTGGGACGGGGCGGGGAGGCTTACTGGGGACGGGCCGCAGCACATCTGGGATCAGGGTCTCCACCAGCGCCTGGTACAGGATGTGATCACAGCTGCGCATCCACTGCAGGACGGGCTCACACTTACACAGAGAGATGAGCTTGTCCTTTGGGAGGACGGTGACTTCCGGCTCCTCATCGCTGCGGGAGGGGGGACACACAGGTGAACACAGAGGACAGGGCAGGGCCACACAGAGAGCAGGGGAAGCAGCCTCTAACCAGGCTTGGCTCTGGGGCTCTGGGCACCGTCCTGCCCCTCAGCCCCTCTGGGACCCTCAGTGACTAGTGCTGTCCTATTCTGGCTGTGGCTCAGGTGACGAGAGTTGCTGCAGTCCCCGGGGCCACATCAGGAATCTGAGGCAGGAGGATGGCAAAGCCAGCATGACAGTGGGGGCCGAGGGCAAGAGGGCCTGCCAAGCCTGTGCAAAGCCGTGGGTCCCCAGACCTGCAGCACGGCAGGGTGTAGAGAGGTGGGTGGTCAGGAGTCTTGGCACCCGCTAAGAGCTCACGGAAGGGGTGTCTAGGCGGCCTCTCCGACAGCTCAGTGCTGGAAGGTGTTACCAGATTTGCTCAGGGCTGAGCCGAGGCACACATGGCTGCCCTGTCCCAGGCTGGGCTGTCACCTGGCAGGCAGCGAGGTGCGGCCGTCGCTGCTGCAGGTGGCCTTGCAGTTCCAGAAGGACAGCCACAGCTTCTCGATGTACTGGAACTGGAGGTTCATGACGACGTCCAAGGTGGCCTGAGGGCAGAAGGACCTGTCAGGGCAGGGCTGCTGCCTGCGCTCTGGGCAGCTGTGGGTCTTCCCAGGTCCCCAGAGGGGACTTTCTATCAAGGAGAGGGTGGGCAGAGGCTGTGCTCAGGGAGAGGGTCCTGTGGGGACACGGGCTCTGGCCTCTGGGGGGCCATGGGAGCTGCAGGTGGGGTAGGGTCTGGCCGAGTAGGGCGTCACCTCACAGTGCCTGCGATACACCAGCTGCAGGGCCTTCACGTCGTGGGCGGTGACGCTCTCCTGTAGTAGCGTGCTGCCTAGGTCAGGTGCTGGGAACTCTGGGAAGACGTGGGACACATCTGTGGGGAGACAGGGCACACACGTGGGCTCTGGGGCCGAGGGTGCCAGAGGTGAGCGATGGCAGTCCCGGTGCCGAGGCCACGCGCTGATGTAACCTGGATGAGCCATGCCTCTGGGGCAGCACTAGACACACGGTCTGGGGCTGGGCTCGCTGGCTGAGCTGCCCGAGGCCCGGGATCCCAGCCACAGAGCAGGCCCATGGCTCGGCTCTGGGTGTGCTGCAGGTGTCCAAGTCACCATCACGATGGCACCATTTTGTCACTTCACTGTCTCGGCCACGTCCTAGTCACTCGTTATTCTGTGGTCACCTCACATGTTTGTTGTCTGAATACAGAACAATCGTTCTAGAATCCCAGACGTGTCGGGGAGATTGAGCTACATCTTCACGTCTGGCAGAGTGGCCCACACTCACCTATGTACTGCTGGTGCTGCTGGCCCTGCGTGGCCATGGCCTGCTCGGGCGTGCCATGTATGCTGCCGTGGGCACCGCCGTCCCCAAGGCTGTCTGACTTCTGGGCTGGCCGGTACCTGGCAGAGGACAGACACATGGCACCACCGTGAGGCCTCAGCAGCGCTGTCTGGGGTGGGCCCAGGGACCACTAGCGGACTCAGTGCGCGCACACACACATGTGGGTGATGTGCTTTCTGGTTTGGTTGGTTGGTTGGTTGGTTTGTCTGAGGCAGGGTTTCCCTGTGTAGCCTGGGCTGTCCTGGACTCCCTTTGTGGACCAGGCTGGCCTCGAACTCACAGAGATCCGCCTGCCTCTGCCTCCTGAGTGCTGGGGTTCCAGGTGTGTGCCACCTCGGGATATGTCATTTTTACTGGCAAATATTCTTTTTCTCCCAGTACTGGGAGATGAACCAGTCAGTGGAAAGTGCCCTACACCTGATTAGACCGGGGCCTAGGAACAGTGCCGCCAGGCACCAGGCTCAGGCAGGAAGCCCTCACACAGCCGGCCCACCATCCAGCTCAAAAGTAACTGACCCCCGCCCCGCCCTTCCCGTCTCTGTGACTCCGCCGTGTCCTTCTGTGTCAGGCTCATGTGACCAAGCACTGTGTCCACTCATAGAATGTCGTGGATTTTCCTGGCTGAATGGAATTCTAGCAGCGGGCAGGCTCCCTCGGGTGGCCATCACCTGCCGAGTGTCCCCACGCTGCTTTCCCTCGGGAGGCTGCTGACCCTCGGGTCCTAGACGTTTTAGGACAGGGTGGACAGTCTGACTCGTGATTTGCTTTGGGCTGGATGCCCTGGAGTCACCGTGTAGGCGCACAGGGAACACCCCCAGATCTCTTAGCCTCCTTGACACTGCTGACACTGCTGGCCCAGCCAGCTGTGACCATCCCAAGGGCAGTGAGGGGATGCCTCCTGGGGGAGGAGGAAGGCACCACTGCTCAGGAGGAGCATGTCCTTCAAAAGAGTGAATGAAGGGTTGCTCCCGCCTGCGGGTCCTGGAAGGAGCCCGTGAGGGGCTGGGGCATGGTCAGGGCAGAGCCACACCTAGACTTCCCCAGTGAGGGGCCTGGGGATAAAACAAGATAATTAGGGTCTGTGGTTTCAGTTACACGGTCTTCTAGAAAAAACTGGATACATAGATAGCAAAATGAAAACACAAGAAAAATTAGTGTCGCCAGGGTGGGAGGGAGGCGCGGTGGGGAGGACATGGTTTAGGTGATAAAATTCCCTCACCTGACACCATGTCACCGTGTATCTGTCCCAACAACAGGAGGCAGAGGAGAGGACTCATGGAATGTTTGGGGGACAGTGTGGTGGCCCCCTGGGGCCTGGGGCTGCTGTTCTGGCCACGTGGCCGGGGTCACCCACCTTGGCTTCTGGTGTGTGGGCTGCTGCCTCATGGCCATGTACTGTGTGTCTTCCTGTAGTCGGTTGAGTGGAGAGTCTGGCTTCAGGCGGATCCCATAGTAGTGGTACTTTGAGTTGCCCCTGAAAGGGAAACATCACAGGGTAGGCACTGTCTGGGATGCGCTCCTCTGCTCTGCAGTCATGGGGCCGGTCCGCACGCAGCCTCTGGCAGGGAAGCTCTCACTCTAGTGTGATAAAGGCTCTGAGGTGTCCTGCAGTGAGACAGTGAGGCCAAATTGTCCAGCCCGGATCTGCCCGCTTACTGTGATGCTGGCTGACAATTCATCCCTTCCTTCCATCACGCCTCACCCCACAGCTGGCCCGGGATGCAGTGGAGAACCTGCTGGCCATCCTGAGCGCCTGATGACGGGCGTGTGCCGCTGTGCTAGGCTCTAACATCCCATTTTGGAAAAAGGCGTATCTTAGGAAGTAACTGCAAGGAGCAGGAGGTGACCCTGCCATGCTCAGGGGACAACACACAAGTGAACTCCAGTCTGCGAGCTGTGCTCAGCACTCCCGGGGGTACTTCATGGCAGATGTCCCCAACACCTCCTTTGTCTGTTCCTGAGGAGAACCTACAGTTGCTGGAGTCCCTGATCTCTTGAACCCACTTTTGGTAGTGCACAGTGACCCCAATGCCAGTGACTGTCCAGGACGCAGGCTGGTATTGCAGCGCTTGGAGGCCAAGGCAGGAGGGCTAAAAGTGTCAAAAGAAAAGAGCTATAGCTGCACTAGCCACCATGCAAAAAGCCCTGGGCCCCGTCCCCAGCTCACAGACACCTTTGTCACCCAGCACTCAGGAGGAGGAGGAGTTAGGAGGGGCAGCAGCTCAACACCACAGCTACACAATGAGCTTGAGGCTAGCCTGGGCTACATGAGTCTGTCTCTAAAGAAAAAAATAAATAAAAATAAAAACCTTTTGTTCAGGGGAATTTCAAATGGATAAAAAAAATAAATAATAGTCCAGTGTGGTGGCACACGCCGTTAGTCTCAGCGCTTGGGAAGCAGAGGCAGGCAGGATCTCTGTGAGTTCAAGGCCAGCCTGGGCTACATAATGTGATCCTGTCTCAAAACCAAACCAACAAAATTTATAAAATAAGAGTGAATACCAGGTCCCAGCCACCTAGTGTCTGGCCACCTGAAAGTCAGGAAGCCTACACAGGAGCTGAGGCCTGTGGGCTCTGGGGAGCTCAGTCTCTGACACAGGAAGACACAGTCGAGAGCCCCGGGGCTGCCGCCTACCTGGTGCCCAGGCGCCGCGTGCGCAGGCCCATGAAGACAGAGCGGATGAGCTTGCCGAAGGACGCGGCGTTGACGGGCTCCAGCTTGTGCTCCTGACAGTGGCGCAGGTAGTGGTTGTACAGGGAGCTGCGGGGCAGGCTCACGCCCTCCGCTGTCTCATAATTATCCAGAAGCCACTGCAGCTGGAGGACAGATGGGCATCAAAGGCCTGGAGTCCCAGGAGAGCAGCTCACTTCCCTGTGCTGGCAAGGGCAGTGACAGAGCCACCCGTGTGGTGCTCACTTCTGTCCCCCGAGCAAGTACGCCAATCACTTCTGTCTACCCACCAGCTACTCTCCCACCATCCACCATCCACCCACCCATCCACCATCTACCCATCCACCCACTCACCCATCCACTATCCACCATCCACCCACTCATCCATCCACCCACTCATCCATCCACCCACTCATCCATCCACCATCCACCCACTCACCATCCACCATCCACCCACTCATCCACCATCCACCCACTCACCCATCCACCCA